AACTGGGACAATTTCCAGGCTCATTTCTCTTTGTTTTCTGACTCTCAGGTTTACTACCTTTTGTTTCTTGCTGTCCAGTGTCATGAAAATCACTGTTTTATATGCTTTCTCTAATTGCTGGTGGGTTTAGGTGGGAGGATAAATCTGACCCCTATTATTTACATTGTGGCTGGAAGCAGAGGACACATCAATATATTTTGATATACTATACTTTAACATACTGAAAAGCAGTAAGATTCTATTAAGAATATAGAACTGATCACATTTATAGAGGACAAGTTGCTTACATTTTCATAATTTATATACTGACAACTCCCACTGCATATGACATATATGCACACATATAATTTCACCCAAAGTTTTAAAAATTATATAAATTATACCAAAGTATGAAGTTTTAATTGGATCTGTGGCTTCCCATTTTTCTTAAGATATTTATAAAGATTCATTTGAATATAACATTATGCCTATTTTTATATTACTAAGATAGTATTTAGACTTTATAATTAAACACTCATTTTTTACTTATATTGAAATGCATACCTTCAAATTCTTAGGTAAGATGAAAATAAGGCTAATACTGAGTACACTTAGGAAATGCATGATTAAATAAGTTTATATCCCAACATGGACTTTAGTTAAATAGGGTGAATAACAGGCAAAGCTAGTTAAGTACAAGTACTATTGTATCGTGTAGATCAGAAGAGAAGAAACATAAAGGACATAAAGGGAAAGAAGGGAAAGACAAAGAGAAAGAAATTGAAGGTAAAAAAGGCTAAAGGAAAGAGCAACCTGAAGAAGAGTAATGTTTAAATCCATTAGTAGTAATGGTCCAGTATGGCCAGGACAGGCTGAGACTAACTTTGATAGGGCTGTCTGTGAAAATGGATACAGATTAGGGCTTGAATTTTATTCTTTATTCATTCAATAAATCTTTGTTTACTGTTTACTATATTCCAGGTATTGTTTAAAACAAAGGGCAGCAAACTATGAACAATGCTTATTTTTGTACAGCCTATGATCTAAGAAGAGTTTTTACATTTTTGAAGGTTAAAAAAAAAGGATATGTAATAGAGATGTATGGGTTGCAAAGCTTAAAATATTTGCTATTTGGTCATTACTGAAAAAGTCTGTCAATCCATGGCTTAAGATATGGGGAATACAACAGTATAAAAGAAAAAGAATGGGGGAGAGAAGACTTTGCCCTTATGGAGCTGATATTCTAGTAAGAATACAGATAAACAATAAATAAGTGAAATATATAGTTTTGAGATGGTATATAGAGATTTAGAATAAGGAGGGGAAACTGGACTGCTAGAGATGAGGTTCAGACTGCTTTATGGCCCATATAGCAAAATGAGGAGGATAGTCTTAGGATGAGGAATGATTTGATTCCTCAGAAAAGCTGTACTTTTTGAGGTGATAAAGGTCATAAATAGATAGTGGTAGGCTGAGATGGTCATTTTGATTGTGAATGTGGTGTTGTGGTGGGGGTAGTGAAGGGAGTGGTGTATTAACTCAAGTCCCACGTTCTGGAGCTCTTAACTCTCCTGCCAGTGGTAAGGTGAATACTAGAAGAGGGGGTGGTCTTACTGGATTACCCAGAGCTTCTGGCTCCCTCTGGAAAAGCAAAGATATTTGGAACAGGGAAGCTGCGTATTCATGGCTGGGTTTGGAGAAGGTTTACCTGAAAGAACTGTGGAGAGAAAAGTGGAGGAAGGAAGCACCACAGCAGGATCCTTGGAATGACAAGAGTTCTAAGATTAGGCATTTCCTGATACTAGCAGTATATCAGGAGAGACCACTGACAAGTACAACATTCTAGAAGTTGAATAAATATGTAACAGGAAACAAAGTTACTCCTATTGCTAGCATCATAAGAAACACCATACCAAGTCAAATCATATTCACCCATATTGTTTTTGTTAAAATGTTTGTTAAGCACCTACTATGCACCAGCACTGTTCTAAGAACTGAAAATACAGTAGTGTGCAAGAAACTATGGATAAATCTCTCATGAAATTTACATTTGAATGCTGTAGGTAATTTCAGATTATTCCATGTGCTGTGTTGGAAGTTGTGGTTTCCATGTGCAATTTGGAAGGTACTACTTTTTTTTTTAATTTTACATTTTTTAAAAAATTTTATTATGTTATATGAATCACCATACATTACATCATCAGTTTTTGATGTAGTGTTCCATGATTCCTTGTTTGTGCATAACACCCAGTGCCCCATTCAGTACATGCCCTCTTTAATACCCATCACAGGGCTAACCCATCCCCCCACCCCCCTCCCCTCTACTTTAAAGAGGATGGGCAGAGGGACATTCTGAGGAGGTGCCTTTTCTGTTGGCTGTTGCAAAATGAAAAGGAGCTTACCCGTTCCACAAGTGAATGGGTGAGAGGAGCAAAATGAACGAAAGTGAGAAGGCCTTACGGCAATAAAAAGAGCTGTCAGAACACTGATTTATGACTATGGCAGTTTTTGCTCAGGCAGTTTTGTCAGAGAGCACTAATGATCCTGTGGTGGGACGGTGCTTCCTGGGATGGCCTTCAAGCTGAAAGCTACCTTGGGCTTATTCTTCCTTTGTTTCTGTTGCTACTGCTCATAGGACCAATGAAGAGTGTAGGGGAGGGTAATTTCCTTCCAAATATCATGCCCCTAAAATAAGAACCTTTATATGGTATCCTTTCTTTGTCCACAGTGGTACAATGCATGTCCACTTCATTTATATGCTTATTGTAGACAGCAGGAGGGCAATAAATTACCAATAACCATACTAGTAATAGCAATAGCTGAGATTTATCAAAAACTTGTATGTGCCAAGCACCTCACATGTAGTAATTAATTTAGTCCTCAAGCTAATCCTGAAATGGGGAGAAATACTAACCCCATTCCCAGATGGAGAAACTGAGACAAAGAGAATTAAGTGATTTGCCCAGTTCATACAGCTATTAACTGTTCAAAACTGGCAGTATGATTGCAGAATCCTTATGTGCTTAAAACTAATGTACTACACCCCCCTCTTTCCTCCAGGAACAATCTGTAAAGATAAAATAAATCCCAGGTATACACTTTCATTTTATATGGATAGTTTGTATCTCACTTAAAATATTTCAAGTGTTTCTCATACTCTATTGTTTTCATTATCCTCATCATTACTATAAATTCATCTAGTTTGAATCTGGGAATAATTGCTTTTTTGAGGTGTTAAGATCCCCTTTTCTTTCCTTCTACCTCCATGCCTGTTTAAACTTCTTTTCAGCTCTTTAAGTTCTTGGCTAATACAGTCAATCAATCAATCAATCAGTCAATCAGTTGATATGTTCTGCACTCTAGTTCTTAGTTTCAGCTCAAATATCTTTTTTTGTTTGTTTGTTTCAAGTTTTTATTTAAATCCTAGTTAGTTAATATACAGTATAATATTGGTTTCAGGAGTAGAATTCAGTGATTCATCACTTACATGTAACACCCAGTGCTCATCACAGGTGCCCTCCTTAATGCCCATCACCCATTTAGCCCATCCCCCCTCCCTCCATCAGCCCTCAGTTTGTTCTCTATAGTAAAATGTCAATCCCTGGTTTAAGGTAGGGGAAATACAACAGTATTTCCTCTCCTTTTTTTTTTTTTTTGCTTCCCCTATGTTCATCTGTTTTGTGTCTTAAATTTGTTTTTATCTGACTGACTTATTTCACTTAGCATAATACACTCTAGCTCCATCCACATCATTGCAAATGGCAAGATTTCATTCTTTTTGATGGCTGAGTAATATTCTGCTACACACACACACATACATACACACAAACACACACACACACACACACACCCTACATCTCCTTTATCCATCCATCAGTCGATGGACATTTGGGCTGTTTCCATAACTTGGCTATTGCTGATAATGGTGCTATAAACATCAGGGTGCATATGCCCCTCTGAATCAGTATTTCTGTATCCTTCGGTAAATACCAATTGCTGAGTTGTAAGGTAGTTCTATCCTATATCTTTTCCTCACAATTCTGTCAGTCCTCCAACTCAATCTCTTTCTTTTCCCTGTGTTTCCCCCCACAGATTTATGACTTACTGTTTTGAAGCAAGTTTTGAGGATGGAATACCAAGCACTTGACTAAGTTCACTTTTTAAAAAAATATATCTTATTTATTTATTAGAGAGAGAGAGAAAGCACAAGAAGAGGGAGGGGTAGAGGAAAGGGAGAGGGAGAAGCAGACTCCCTGCTGAGCATGGAGCCCAATACAAGGCTCAGTCTCAGGACTGTGAGATCATGACCTTAGCTGAAGTCAGCCACTTAACTGACTGAGCCACCCAGATGCCCTGAGTAAGTTCATTTTACCAGGTAATCTTACTTTCGCATGCCAGGCAGTTAGTATTCGTGCAATTAAAATTTGTCACTTAGATAAATAACAACCAATAAATTTTATTGGGTGAAATTAATTGGGTGAATTTTTTTCCTACTCATGAGTTTTCCTTGCCTTTATGAGCAATTTCTTAGTTTACTGGAAACTAACAAACTTACTAAATCAAGTAAAGCTTAAGAGATTATACCGTATATGAAAATAAGAAGTAAAATAGATTTCATTTTATAAAAACAGAAAGTAACTCCAAATACTCTAAAAAAAAAACAACTCAAAAACCTTTGGTTAGTGGAAAAATGGCTTTTTATTATCAATTCGTTCATTCATTTCTTTTCATATTTTAAGCCAAATCTAAAAAATTCTAAGAAATCACACAATGCCTTCTAAATTTGACTTATATATGAGAACGCCATACAAGAAAACATAGAGAGTTAAACATTCATTTATATTTCTTTTTTTTTCCTTTTCATTTATATTTCTAGTCAACATATGCAGTTCCTTTCATAAGATGAATTAGCTACCTAACCTCACTCAACAGGTTTTACTTATTCATCTCTATGTGTGCTATAGAGCCCTGGACAAAATGACCAAAATACAACAGAGCAAGACATGGGAAAAATTCCTTACCTTTAAAGAAGACAAAATTCCCATCACTGTTTTCATAAACTGCATCGATACTAGGAGGCAAGCCCCGCCAGAAGTAAGTAATTTGCATGGGGTATCCATCCATCACCCTGTTGTTTCTCACTCGCCAAAACCACTGGTCCTGCAAACCAAGCAAAACATCTCTCAACAAACATGCAGGCCTCCATGGCATTTCCCTGTGCAATGGTGTAACCCTTCTAAAACTAAACTAGTATCATTTTCATTGTCTCACACCAAAACCATCAAAGAACCAGCTAATCAACTTGCTTACAGTGATCACAACTGTTTTTGTAGCTAACTGCCCAATCTTTAATCCATACAATGTGATTAAAAGATAATATAAAAATATTTAACTTTAGCATTTTACATTATTTCCAGGGTTTTTAGATGGAAAAAAAAACAGAAGTAGCACAGACAAATCACTCCCAGATTTGTGGATTAAGTCAGTATTCCTGAATAAGAGAGCAGCATTGGACTTGTATACATTTACAGACATATACAGGATCTCCACACCTAAAATGGTAGGGATGGAATAAAGAGGCCATCCCTCTGGCTAGGCCCACATTATACCCATCATCCCCTGTAATTGTAAGTAGTGTCCTCTTTCACCCTCAAATATATTTTGGTTTGGATGATAAATTATATGGTCACCCTAAATGAACAAAGTTATCTTGAAAAAAATCATCACAGTGATTCCAATCTGGGTCAACTGCCTCTCCTATATGCTCTCACAATATCCTGACTTTACTCAATCATAGCATCAGTCATTTTATGTAAAAAGTGTCTACTCTTATCTCTAGTGAAAATACATGACTTGCCCCATAGCAAGTATTTATAAATGTTGAATTAATCATTAGCTTGCATACAATATGTTTCACCATAAATTCTTACTAATGGCAAAAAAAAATAACTTCCAAAAAAATGTTATACCTGATGACATTCAGTTATTTTCTGTGGAAAATTTCAGAATAAAGACTATCCAAAGTGCTTTAGTATTAGAAAAACTTGGTATATTTTAAAATATACTATTTCACTTCATTTCAAAATTTTGTATTTACAAACAACATTTCACTTGGAGATCATATATTTGTACTACTTAGATAAGTATGTTTCACAAAAATACTTCCAATTTCCCCTACTTAGACATTAATGAGTGATTTATTATAGGGCTTTCCCAATCTTTTGGCTTACAATAGTTGAGCCTGACTAGATTTTCTAGGATTTGTGAGTTATTCATATAGTCATTCACACACACACAATCAACTGGGGATTCTTGGATTTCAAGTGAAATGATAAAAATGAACCTTTTCCTTTCTAAACCAATCAGAATATAAAAATTTTCTTAGGAATCTTTGGATAGTTGTACTTCATTCTAGTTATCCTGAGCTGTCTTCTCTACGAACTTTTTTATAAAAAGAAGGAAGTAGCTTAATTAACAGCTCTAAGTTTGTATCCTATTCTTGCTCTGTCCCTTAATAACGGTTATCCTGGTCAAGATACTAGTCATTGAGTTATTACAAACTAATAACTGACTCATAGTATAAATACTGTCTTATTTTACTTTATTTTATTTTTATGTAGGCTCCATGCCCAGTGGAGCCCAGTGCAGGGCTTGAACTCAAAACCCTGAGATGAAGACCTGAGCTAAGATCAAGAATAGGACACTTAACGGACCGAGCCACCCAGGCACCCCTAATTACTGCTTTAAGGACTTTCTGAGGACCTGGCACACAGTTGGCTGTTATTATCGTTGAAATTATATTGAAACTAGTTATTTTACTTTCCTTCACAATCCTGTTTATGGTTTTAGCTGCTGTTCTTTGTTCCCTCTTCAGATTTAAGCCATATTATGGCTCTAGCCATGCATCTCTTTCCTACCAGTATCTTCTTATGTTATTAACCTTTTCTTGATAATTTTTATGGTGCCAGCTAACCTGGAATTAATATATATCTTGATTCACATATAGCAGACACATTAAACTGATTTTAAAATACAAAGTTACTCTATGAAAAAAATTGATCCAGGAAAATTAACATGGGCATGAAGATCCAGGGCTTACTGCTAATAGTATGTGAGCAGATGATATTCTGATCTGATAATTTATTTATTTTTATTTCTTTATAGATTTATTTATTTATTTATTTATTTATTTATTTGAGAGAGAGAGAGAGAACATGGCAGGGAGGGGCGGAGGAAGAGGGAGAGAGAAACCCAAGCCGACTCTGCATTGAGTGTGGAGCCCGACACAGGACTCCATCCCAGGACTGCAAGATCACGACCTGGGCCAAAACCAAGAGACAGAGGCTTAATCAAATGCACCACCTAGGTGCCCCTATTCTGATAATTTAAAAGAAAGCCAGCATCTTTTTGTCGAACTATGAGAGCTTTTCACTGGGTATTAAAACTATGTCACTCTCTACCTAAAATACTGTTGTTGGTTTTTTTTTAAAGATTTATTTATTTTAGAGAGAGAGAGAGCATGAGTGGGAGGGGCAGAGGGAGAGGGAGACAGAAACTCAAGCAGACTCCATGCTGAGTGCAGAGCCCAATGCAGGGCTTCATCTCAAGACCCTGAGATCAGGACCCGAGCCGAAAACAATCAGATGCTTAACCGATGTGCCACCCAGGTGCCCCTCCACATAAAATATTTTTTTTTTTTTTTGACAGAGAGAGAGATAGCGAGAGCAGGAACACAAGCAGGGGAAGTGGGAGAGGGAGAAGCAGGCTTCCCGCAGAGCAGAGAGCCCGATGTGGGACTCGATCCCAGCACCCTGGGATCATGACCTGAGCCGAAGGCAGACGCTTAACGACTGAGCCACCCAGGCGCCCCACATAAAATATTCTTAAGTTATTGTAATAGATATCCAAAAATTATAAAAAATGGACTCGGACAAAGAAATAACTGACCATCATTATTAATGGAACAATGAAACTGAAAGCTCTCTGAGCTGAAAGGTCAGAAAAAAATCAGGTAAAAAAAAAAAAGCCTGAACTATATTCCAATTTTTCTCAGAGAAGCACTTCACATTGTTCTATCTCCCTAATACTGAGACAAGGCCAGTGGCTTCTTTGGGACAGACATATGCTGCTGTGTGAAGATAGGAACACAACCTCAACTTGCCACTAATATAGGAAGAAATGGAAATTTTGCCTCAAGATAGGCATAGTCAATTTGCAAAAATTCAGAAAGTAATATGGAATCATAGGTGAATTCAGAATGATTTCTCATTGACAGCAGCCTTGGCGGAGAGTGATATAAATCGTCAATATTCAGGTTGTGCTTCTATTCAACTTATCCACACCTTCTCAGAGTGGTAGAAAGCAATGGTACAAATAATTCAGCAAGCACTCTGTCACAGAGGCTGTAAACATATCGCAGGCACTCTAGATTGCCATTTCAGAAATCGAGCTTGTGAACGATTCATAGGGAGAGGATATTTAAAATGCTCTTTAAGTCTCTATGCAAATTTTCCTTCTAAGTGAAACCTCCTCTGACCACACTATCTAAAATTGAATTCCCTCACTCCACCCACCCACATGTGCTTTCAATCTCACCCTCCCTTGCTTTATTTCCCTTCACCATGTTGATCACTGTTTAACACAGTACACGTTTCATTTATTGTTCATTCTCTCTCCACTAGAATATAAGCTCCACAATGGCAAAGATATCTGTCTTTGTTCACTTGTGGTTCCCCATTTCCAGAAAAATGTCTTGCACATGGTAGAAGCTTACTAAATATTTCTTGAAAGGAAACACATTTAAGGAGGAAAGGACAAAGTAAAGGTAAGTTATCCTTTTAGAAGTCAAAAGCTATGCAGATGTTACAAGAATACACAAGTTCCACTTGAACAGGCAGATGTTTAGTATCTATTCCATTATTTAGAAAGGTATGATATATAAAGGTCTTTGAACCATGCAGGAAAAAAAAAAAAATGTTTCACCCTTCCAAACAATGTAGGTTTTGTTTTGGCCTTCGGTGTAAAGGGAAAGAAAGAAGAATCTGAGCTCTAAATCTGTTGTTTCTATCTTGCTACTGGCCTTTTTTTGGCTACAGCCCTTATAAAAGGGGGTGGGAGGGGTGGAAGCATACCCTAAAAATAGTCAAAACTAGCACATTTGCAAAATCAACTCATGAAAAAAAGAGTGCTGAAAAACTATCAAAGAGGAATTCCTACTTAAACCCCAATATTTCACTTTAGGTACAAGTTTACACAGATTTTTCTTTCCATGTAGCATGGGTCCCAGGCAGATCACTTTGTTCACAAAGATAACAAACACACAGAGTACTGCAGGGTGTACACCATGAGACAATAACATACAAGAGAAATTGGTTTGCTTTTTTAAATTCCCTTTAAAATTCTGTCTTGATACAGGCATATTGTTTGCTGACAAGTCTAGAGACCAAGTATCCTCCTGCTGTCTGAATACAAAGATTGGGGTTATGGATCTACGCTCAGGAGAGGGTGCTATTTTCAGACTTCTTTTCAGAAGCCAATTAGTAGACCTGATCTACTTTTACTTCTCTTCTAATATACGTGTTTGTTATTTAACCAAAAACTTGATGTAAATCTGTGAATGCCTCACGTGTCCAAGCTGAACATTTCCAGAAGGCATCAGTTGCTCTCTCAGCCCTCGCCTGCCATGCCACTGTGGGCTTCCTCCAGTCTTCCCCACCTCAGAAATAGCATCTCAAAACTCTTGATTCCTTGCCATCATCACTGTCACCATCCTACTCCGAGCCACCACTGTAGTTCACAGACTGCAGTGCCAACTCAAAGCTACCGATTTGCCTCCTACTGCATCTAAAATGGAATTTGAACTCGGTCCTTGTCTCCAGCCCCTGCACATCCATTCCAGGTCCCTTTTGTGCTCATGACGCTCTACCTAGTCTCTAGATACGGTATTTAGAGATGCAGTTTCCTGCTATCAACAACTTTCTTTCAAATGTTTCACCGAAAACTTGGGCATGCATGTTGCATTGCTTTCTCTCTCTCTCTCTCACACGCACACAGAGAAAATACAGGCAAGCACTTACAATTGTTAAATCTAGATATTAAGGGTGTATGTATTCATTCTTCCAACTTTTCTGTATTTTTGAAATTTTTTATAATAAAATGTT